ACAGAAAGGGGCACACTGCCCGTTTCTGTAAAGCACCAGCACATCCCATCTCTCAAGTCCCCGCCGCGGGAGTCAGTCAAGCTTGTTATAAGTGTGGCGAAACTGGGCACTTCAAGAGAAACTGCACAAAGTTAAAGAATGCTGGTGTTGTAGGGAGAATTCTGGAAATTGCCAATGAAGAAGCGATGGCAGATCCTAACGTGGTTACCAGTACGTTTCTTCTCAACAATTCTTACGCATGCATTATTTTCGATAGTGGTGTGGAGAAAAGCTTCGTGAGCCATAAATTCAAACATCTACTAAAACAAATTCCTCAAACATTAAAAGACATATTCACAGTAGAGATGGAAAATGGAAAGACCTAGAGCACAAAGGACATATACATAGGATGCACACTTAATCTAAACAACCATTCATTTCAAATTGACCTGATGTCGGTCTCAATTAAAACCTTTGACATTATAATCGGCATGGATTGGTTAAGTCTTCATCGTGCTGATTTCCTATGTTTTGAAAGAGCCATTCATCTTAATCTGCCAAGTAACGAGTCTCTCGTTATCTATGGCGATAAATCCGGTGCAAATCTCCAAATCATTTCTTGCGTCAAGGCCCAGAAGTATCTTCGCAAAGATTATTGCGCCTTCTTAGATCAAGTGGTAGATAAGACACAAGAAGTGAAAAAAATCAAGGATATTCTTTAAGTTTGTGATTTCCCTGATGTATTTCCCGAAGATCTCTCAGGAGTTCCTCCTGAATGCCAAGTCGAATTCCGAATCGACTTGATTCCCAGAGCTACCCCTTTAGCTAAATCCCAGTATCGTCTCGCACCAAAAGAAATGCAAGAACTATCCAGCCAGTTAAACGAACTTCTCAGCAAAGGATTCATTAGACCAAGCTTCTCACCCTGGGGAGCAATGGTCTTGTTCGTGAAAAAGAAGGATGGATCGTTCCGAATGTGCATAGACCATCATGAATTAAAATAAACTCACCATTAAAAACCGATACCCTCTACCACGGATAGATAACCTCTTCGATCAACTTCAAGGGGCAAGTTTCTTCTCCAAGATTGACCTGAGATCAAGATACCATCATCTACGAGTCTAAGAGGCCGATATTCCAAAGACTTCTTTCAAAACTTGCTAGGGTCACTACGAATTCGTAGTGATGCTCTTTGGTCTAACGGATGCACCTACAATATTCATGGACCGGATGAATCGTGTGTGTCGACCTTACTTAGACAAGATCATTATAGTTATCATTAACGATATACTAGTCTATTCCCGAAGTAAGAAAGAACACAACCAACACTTACGACAAGTCTTGGAAAACTTAAGGGCAGAGAAATTGTATGCGAAGTTCTCGAAGTGTGAATTTTGGATTCGTAAGGTGGAATTCCTAGGTCATGTAGTCAGCAAGGAAGGAATACATGTTGATCCCTCAAAGATCAAGGCTATTGAAAACTGGGCGACCCCATGAACCCCAACAGAAATTCGTCAATTTCTAGGTCTCGCTGGCTACTACAGAAGATTCATCCAAAACTTATTAAAGATAGCGAAACCACTCACCACCCTGACCCATAAGGGTGTAACCTTCAATTGGGAAGAGAAACAAGAAACTGCTTTCCAGACACTAAAGCGAGCCCTCTGCAGCGCACCGATATTGTCCCTCCCAGAAGGGACGGAAGATTTCGTAGTCTACTGCGATGCGTCCAAGCAAGGCCTAGGTTGCGTTCTTATGCAGCGAGGAAAGGTCATATCCTATGCCTCGAGACAGCTTAAGAACCACGAAGTCAACTATACCATACACGACCTCGAACTGGGGGCAGTGGTTTTTGCTTTAAAGATCTGGAGGCATTACCTGTATGGTACGAAATGCACAGTCTTTACTGATCACAAAACCCTCCAGCACATGTTCGATCAAAGGAACTTAAAATGAGACAACGACGATGGGTGGAACTACTCAATGATTAGGAATGCGAGATTTGCTATTATCCTGGCAAGGCCAATGTAGTGGCAGATGCCCTTAGTCGTAAAGAATACTCAGGACGCCGAGTAAAGTCTCTAACTATGACTATCCATTACCACCTATCCACACAGATCAAGGAGGCTCATCTGGAAGCCTTTAAACCTGAGAATGTGACGAGTGAAGCATTAAACGGAATGGAAAAGAACTTGGAAATCAAGGGTGACGGAGTTCGTTATCTCATGAATCGGATCTGTACACCAAAGTTTGGTGGTTATAGAGATGTTGTCATGAACGAAGCCCATAAAACTCGATACCCCGTTCATCCGGGTTCAGACAAGATGTATCTGGACCTTAAGAAACTTTATTGGTGGCCGAACATGAAAGCTGAAATTGCTACCTATGTGGGAAAGTGCCTAACTTGTGCCAAAGTCAATGTAGAATATCAAAAGCCCTCAGGTTTACTTCAACAGCCAGAAATACCTGAGTGGAAGTGGGAGCGGATTACAATGGATTTCATAACCAAGTTACTCAGGACAACGGGTGGTCATGACACCATTTGGATGATCGTCGACAGATTAACCAAATTCGCACACTTCCTGCCAATAAAAGAAACTGATAAAATGGAGAAGTTAACAAGGATGAACATTAACGAAATAGTATGATTGCATGGTGTGCCAATATCTATTATCTCTGACCGGGATAGTAGATTTACCTCGCGGATTTGGCAATCATTGCAAAAGTCCTTGGAACTAATCTTAACAAGAGTACAACGTACCATCCTTAGACTGATAGGCAAAGCAAAAAGAAAGAACCATACAAACGCTGGAAGACATGTTAAGGGTCTGTGTGATAGATTTTTGGTAAAGCTTGGGATACCCATTTACCACTCGTCGAATTCTCGTACAACAATAGCTATCACACTAGCATCAAGGTTGCACCATTTGAAGCTCTCTATGTTTGTAAGTGCTGATCCCCTCTGTGCTGGGCTGAAGTGGGTGACACGCAACTAGCCAAGAACCAAGTACCCGACAATATTCGCTCCCGAGATCATTCGTGAAACCACAGAAAAGATTGTCCAAATCTGGGAATGAATGAAAGCTTCTAGAGACATAGAAAAGAGTTATGCGGACAAACGACGAAAACCCTTCGAATTCCAGATTGGTGACCGTGTCTTGTTAAAGGTATCACCTTGGAAAGGAATAATACGTTTTGGCAAGCGTGGAAAACTAAATCTAAGGTGCATCGTACCATTCAAGATTCTTGCTAGAATTGGTCCAGTAGCTTACAAACTCAAACTACCGCATGAACTCAGTAACATTCATCCCATTTTTCACGTCTCTAATCTTAAGAAGTGTCTGTCTGACGAGACTCTTGTGATCCCACTTGACGAAATCGAGTTAAACGAGAGTCTACACTTCGTAGAAGAACCAGTGGAAATCATGGATAGGGAAGTCAAAAGAACAAAACAAAGCCATATACCAATAGTGAAGGTTCGCTGGAATGCCAAGCAGGTACCTGAATTCACTTAGGAAAGGGAAGATCAAATAAAACAAAAGTATCCACATCTTTTCCCTAGTTCATGAGTACCACTTTAGAAACAATTTCGGGATGAAATTCCCTCTAACGGGGGGATAATGTAATAACCCGAAATTTTCAAATTTGTAAAAGTCAACAAAAGTCAACCAAGGTCAACAAAAGTCAAAATTGATGTTTTATTAATTTAATAAAGTTAAATTAATATTTTTGATATCTATAAAACCTTATTAAAAAAGTTTTGCAAAAATGAAATTTATTTCTATTTTAACCGAAAACCATCGCAAGGGATAGCTAGCCTCGTACTAAAAACGGTTCTCTGCCAAAAACCTTTCAGATCACAAACCTTCGCATCTAGACCATTCACTGCACACCGCAAACCCTTTTCGTTCGAAAACATGCGAAGCCGACTTAGAGTTCTCGGCCGAAAACTCTTTCCTTAGAAATTGTTCTTGGCCGAAATCATTAAACCGCCTCACATTTTGCTTCATATATATATGACACCTTTGGAAAATATCCTCATTCTTACACTCTCCAACCGAAATCAATTCTTTTTCTCTCAAGAACATATGCGAAAGCACCACTTTTCTTTAAAGTATCAACCAAAAATCCTTTGAATCTTCATAGAATATCACTCGAAATCTTCAAGTGTTCATCATACCTTTTGGAAATTATCATCCAATATTCAAGTGTTCAACATACCTGTGGTGACAAATGCCGTGCCGATTGCGACGCCTGAAGAATGTCGTGTTCAGGCCATCTTAGGTCATCAAGCATGGTTATAATAACTCACAATTTGGTATTGAATAATATGATTAGTGTATGAATAAGTAAACAACTTCACATACTTTTATTTAATAATAAAACTATAATACAATATCTTACAAGTATAGCGATAAAACTAGACATTTACAAACATACAGTTTTCATACAAGTACAAATACAGAACACTATTCCAGTATAGAGAAAACACACTTTTCATGGACGATAACTACATTATACTACTTCAGAGTACAATAACAATTACATGTTTGATTACAATGTATCACAACAGAAAATATTGGATTTTCTGGGGAAACATACTTATAATTTCAATGAATAGAAAACAAATTTCAATTACACACATGCTTATGAACTCACCAACTTAATTGTTGACACCTTTTAAAACTATTTGTATTCTCAGGAAATCAGTAGACAGATACATCCACGAATTTTTGAGATGACGGAGCTTCATTAACTCATGTCTTTTAACTTTTTGGTGTCATGTATACAATGACTTGAACACATATGTAAAAACTTATACATTATCAATACATGGTTGTTGTACTTTGATTACTATTATACAATTGTTGTGATACTGTGCATGGCGTCCTCTGCCCTCGAACATTTCCGCCGTTCCGGTTTCGGGGTGTGATAAACATCTTTTAACTCCTGACGAAGCGGAACATCTTCATTTTGTTTTTCAACATTCGAAAAATCATTGGAAACTTCAACCTTCTGATTTACTTCTGCACCACAAGATAACACAATATTTTGATGAAGTTTGTTAAATTCAACATTTCTTTTATCAGCATACTCCAAATCTCTTTGTTGCCTGGGAACTGATTCCAAGCATGATTGATCCAATGATCGATGGTAGGCTTCAAATAACTATAACTTTTAAATAAAAAATCATTCTTCTCCTTAAAATACTGAAAAATAATATTAAAATCAAAAGATTATAAAAAAATGATCCAATAGAATATGATTCAAAAACATAATGCAAAAACATATATACCTCTAAAGACTTTGAACCATCAAAAATAATATCAAATCGAGGAACAGAAGGACTGCTATCCATCCAATCTTCCTTCACATTATAATATTTATAAAAAACAAATAAAAAAATTCAAAATATATATTAAAACCTTTAAAAAAACTTACCATCATTTCTTATTTCATCATCAATTATGTTCTCTTGAACAAATTTCTTTCCTTTATCAACATTATCCACAAAAATATGAACTAATTTAAAATATAAAAGTAAATAAAAATAAAATACAGATAAAAAAATAAAAAATAAATAAAACTTACCATTATCCTCTCACTTGATTCTCCTTTGTGTTGTCTTCAACAACGTTTTTTCCTTTGTCAGCAATATCCAAAACAGTAGGAACTTCATTCTCAATTGATTTCTCGTGAACAATATTGATTCCTTTTTCAGAATGATCCAAAACAATAAAAACTCTAATAAATTACAAAGGAAAATAAACATAAAAATTAATTAAAAAAATTACCTTCAACTTGTTGAGCTTCAGATTTTTTTTCTTTGAACTTTTATTCATTTTTTTCAAATGAATATTCTTTCTCATCTTTTTCTTATCTATTTTCTTTTTCATAAGAACAACAGATTTGTTTTCTTCATTCTCTTTCATCTTTTTCTTTTCCATTCTTCTTCTCAAAACATTAGCAAGACTAATGTGTTCCTCATTTACAAATATAAAAAACAATTTTTTATTAAATTAAAATATTAAAAAAATAATTAAATAAGATTATAAAAATAAAAATATTTCATAAAGATGAAAAAAAATATAAACCTGTTTCTGTTTTCTGAATCTTTAACTATTGCATCATCAACAAACTCTTCATATGTTTACATGACTTCAACTTTTTCATAACCTCCATCACTAAATGCTTCTTTCAATTTATCTTTAACTTTAATTGGAGTCCAATAAGATGATGTAGGATATATCCTTTCCAATGACTCTGAAGATGACTTTGTGCAATGAAGATACAATAACTACATAGCATGAAAACAAAATATAATTAATAACTAAATTGAGAAAAAATAATTCAAAATAATATAACCTTTAAACTTAGCACTAAAAACGCAACAGGACCAGTGTATTGAGGATTCTTGACATGAATTGAATCTGATTCAAATTTCAACAACTTTTTGCTCTGATTTAAACAATCAATTACAAAGCCACACCAATCAAGATCTTTAATGGACAATTCATCAAAATTTTCTAAAATTTTTTGGTTGCATGTACCCATAGATGGACCATCAACCATGATGGTCACATATGCAACCAAAAAATTCAATAAAAACATAAAACCTGAATCAATTCTTTTTTCTAAAAGCTCTCTGAGATTCGGAAGCCTAATCCTGGAAATAGAAAACTGATTCCTCCAGTTTTTAATAACAGCAATCCCATAATTACTTTTCTTATGAATTTTCATAGAAATATCACCCATTGGAAGTCCATATATGTCATGCACACCTCTCCTAGTAATATGAATATCCTTATTGTTGATACAAAGAATATTTCTCTTTTCGTCATATATCTCAAGAACCCACGAATAGATTTCCCTAGGAAATTTTTTAACCACAAAGTCTTCAATAAATCCAAACCCTATTTCCTTAACAGCAGCTTTCTAATTATCATTAAGGCTTTTGTATATACTAGATATTAAACATGGAGGATACCTATATACAATTTCAGCCTTCTTAACATTTACTTGACCAACAACAGGAGCAGAAACAAAATCATCATCTTCATTTGGTCTTGTAATGACTTTGGAAACCTTATTAACTTTTACAACTTTGATTGATGAAGTTCCTTTGGAAGTAGATGAAATATCTACAAAAGACTTGGACCTTAATGAAGCATTTCAATTAGAAAAAAGATCAACAATATTCTCTTTTGCATCTTTTTGAAGAGCTAATATCTTCCTTTTCTTTGATTCAACTACATATGAATAAAACACATAAGAAAATGATGTTCAAAAGGAATTACAAATATGAAAACAAACATTAAGAAATAAAAAAACAATTGTTGTAAAAGATTCTTATTATTACAATGATTATAAAAGATAATTTCTAACATGAATAATAACTTAGGTTACCTTGGATAACAAAATAAACATCTACAATCATATTTATGACTGCTAAAACAAACAACTATGAATTCCTTAAATGTATATAGATAACAACTACCTTTTTTCGAATCATGTTTGAAACAAAGAATCAATATATGAAAAGAAAGCCTATAATAAAAGCACACTTTATACATATAAACTATAAACAATAATCAATATATGAAAACCAAGCCATACAAACACAGAAAGTAGACAGCATAAAAGAAATACTAACATAACAAACTAACAATTGATATTAAAAACAAATAGATAAACATGCAAATTTGATGAAATTATGTTTACATAAACAAAAAAACGATATCAAAAGGTGACAATATCAAGTGATCTAACAATTTCAGAAACGATAAACAATAAATTTAACTTCAAATACTTCCATTAACAAAAAATTAAACAAAGCAAACAGAGAAAGACGAATACATGAAAGAAAGTATAAATAGTTCAATTAACAAAACAACGATATCAAAAAGTGACAATATCAAATAATCTAACAATTTCAGCAATAACAATCAATAAATAGAACTTAAAACACTTCGATTAATAGAAAATCGAATCAAATCACATAGAGAAAGATGAATACAAAAAATATTGCAAAAAAGAAAAAAACTAGGGTTTCGTAATAATTAAAAAAACGAAAAAACTGAATCAGTGACAAATAATCGATAAATCTGAACAACAATATAGCAAAAACTAACAATATGGACTTTGATTATACATAAAGAAATCAAACACGAACTTAATAACATAAAAACTAAAAAACAAAAGAGTACTTGATTCCATAAGATCAACCGGAGAACTGCAAAGATTAAACACGATGATTGAAAGAGTATTACGACTTCGAACGTCAGGAATATACGATCGACGCTTGAAATTGAGAACTTGATACACTGAAAGAACGAAGAAGAATGAAGAAAATTGGGGGGGGGGGGGGGAATGAAATAACAAGGTAACGAGGGTTTCCTTTTTGCAAATGACGATTGAGCCCTCAAAACAATTACCCCTCGACGAAAAATGGCAAACAATTACCCCTCAAAATCATAGTCATTCAATTTTTTAGATGGAGGGTCACGATTAGTCCTCACAGTCCTCACCGAAAAAAAAATCATCACCCGATCCTCTCTCTCTCTCTCTCTCTCTCTCTATATATATATATATATATATATATTATATATATATATATATATATATCTATATATAATATATATATATATATATATAATATATATATATGCAACGAACTCTCTTCATTTTACACTTATTACCAACAAAGTTAAATAATTTTTGTTTTATATATTATTAATGATATTTGTCTACTTTACTTTACAAAATATATCATTGATAATCAACATTAATGGTTTTTTCTGTTAATATTACAAATAAAAAAATATATATATATATAGATATTAGTACCTCATTATAAAAACAAAGCAAAGGATAATGAGATAATTCGTGATCTGAAAAAGAATGGGTCACGACATTAACAGTTTTACCCTGTAATATTGGGAATTAGTGAAAAGGAAAATATAAAAAATAAATACATAAAGAAACTGAATCATTCGTCACATAACTGTTGTCTCTATTCACCCTCATTTTGTTCCCCATAACTGTTGTCTCTATTCTGAAAAGAAATACCTCGAAAAAACCCTAAATCTTCGCCGATGATCATCAAAATCGAACAACAAAAGCTTGATAAAATAAAAAATGTTGTCAACAACTGATATCCCGAGAACAAATGCTTCAAATTAAGGTAAAAATCGACGCATTCGTTGATTTTGTTTTGAACTTACAATAATCGGAAAATGAACTTTACACTAGTATTTGAGATGTCGTTATCTGTTTTCAAAATATAAATAGTTACTGAAAGATTTTAGTTGATAGCACTCGAGTTTAAATGTTATCGAGTGTTTTATGTAGTTTTTTTTTTTGAATTTTATACTCTATTTTTCATTTACGAGTGTTATCTGTTGATTATGACAATATCGATTGATCATTTGTGATTATCTATTAACTATTGACCTAATAAAGTTGAATAATATTGGATTTTATCTGTTATCTAGGTTTTTTTTGTTGTTATTCTTAATAATCTCGCTTTGTACATTCAGAAAAACCAAAAACATATGAAAAACATACAAAAGAAAAAAAAAGTGATAAAAAACACTCGATACAGGTAATATTATGTTCTAAATCACATATGATTAACATTGTGTTATATTAATATATTTGACGGTCTTTAATCATATATGATTTTTTGATGTTTACTCATGTACGATTTTTTGATAATATCTGTATTAGTAACATATGATAGAAATCATATGTGATTTACATTGAATTATGAACAACTAATTTTTATTTATAATGATTGTGTTCAATCTCAAGTTCATTTGATTGAGTTCATATGTCATTTACACCTTTTATACTCATAATAGTTTTAATAATATATGATTAAAATCACATATGATTAGAGAAACAAGTTTTATTCATTAATCACATGTTATTATTGTCATAAAAAGCATATTATGGTTTAATCACTTGTGAGTATCATCTTATATATATATCAAAAACATATTCAATCACACGTGATTACAATCTGTTATGAACAATCTTACATGGCAATTACTGTGTTCAATCATATATGATTTGCTGATGAATTCAAACATACAATGAGTTTTCAATCATATATGATTTGTTGATGTTATAATCTCCAAAAGGATTGAATCACATGTGATTAGCATATTTTATACATACAACAAATATTGATCACATGTGATTATACACATAAAAAACCATATTAGGGGTTAATCACATGTGATTATCATGTTATATATATCAAAAACATATTCAATCGCATGTGATTATTGTCTGTTATGAACAATCATATATGATTTTCTAATATTGTTTGTATTTATACATATCAGATGAAAATAAAGAAAAGAATACATGTGATTATTGTCATAAAAAAGCATATTATGGTTTAATCACAAGTGAATATCATCTTACATATATATCAAAAACATATTCAATTGCATCTGATTACAATCTGTTATGAACAATCTTACATGGAAATGACTGAATTCAATCATATATGATTTGCTGATGAATTTGAACTTATAATGAATTTGTTCAATCATTTATGATTTGTTGATGTTATAATCTCCAAAAGGATTGAATCACATGTGATTAGCATATTTTATACATATAACAAAGATTGAATCACATGTGATTACAATGTATATAAACAATTTATTATTATTTCTCATGACTTGGATTAATCATATGCGATTTTATTGTAACGCCTGTATTTGTACATCTCAAAAACCCATAAAGAAGAGCAAATGCACAAAGAAACTTCAACTAAAAAGTTTACCAAAGCAACGGCTAGAAGATCAACTAAAAATAGTAAGTAATACTTCAATAATTAAATAATCAGTTTTGATTCTTATATTTTATGTGTATAATCAAATATGATTTTCTAATTATATATGTATTTATATTTTTCAGAACAAGTCAAAGAAAATCCTTCATAGAAACAACCTACCGAAACAAAAACGACAAGAAAATCACCACGAAAGAAAGTTAAAAAAGGTATATTTCAATCACTAATGATTATAAAAAAACCAACACTTCGTTATTAATCACATGTGATTAGTACCTCTTATGTAACAAAACAAGTTCAATCACATGTGATTATTATATGTTATGAACACTATATGTACACAAAAGATATTTAATCACATGTGATTAAAATTGACTTTGTGATTTTCTGATTATATATTTATTTTTATATTTCAGAACATCCTAAACAAAAAGATAAAAAGGGGGAAAAAAAGAGTGCAACAGCAGAAAAACATAGGAGAACCGAGGAAAATAAGGAGAGAGGTATAATTCAATCACATGTGACTTACATATATTAATAACAATATGTTCAGTCACATGTGATTAAATATATATTCATAATAATTTATTCTTTTTTTATCATTTATCTCTCTAAAGGAAAAGTAAAAAGAGAAAATGAAGTAGACACACCATAACGAAGGTCTAAGTTAAAACACGACAAATGTATAATTCAATCATATATGATTATAGTATGTATTTAAAATTACATAATTATTAATTATTAATTCATTATTAAAACTTTTTGGTCAATTATAAATGTAAATGAAGAAGAGAGAAGTCATAGCTTCATAAACAAAAGATCAACAAGTTGATGAAAATGAAGAAGATTCGGATTCTGAAACAAAAGAGATAAAGAGAAGAAAGAAGAAGATATTAAAGAAGCATTTTAATACAATCAGAAACATGTATAACTTTGTGATTAACAA